CTTGAAGAGGTCTTTCACATCCCTTGTAAGTTATATTCCTAGGTATTTTATTCTTTGTAGGAATTGTGAATGGGAGTTCACTCATGATTTGGCTCTCTGTCTGTTATTGGTGTATAAGAATGCTTGTGATTTTTGCACATTGATTTTGTATCCTGAGACTTTGCTGAAGTTGCTTATCAGCTTAAGGAGATTTTGGGCTGAGATGATGGGGTTTTCTAAATATACAATCATGTCATCTGCAAATAGGGACAATTTGACTTCCTCTTTTCCTAACTGAATACTCTTTATTTCTTTCTCCTGCCTGATTGCCCTGGCCAGAACTTCCAATACTATGTTGAATAGGGGTGGTGAGAGAGGGCATCCTTATCTTGTGCAGGTTTTCAAATGGAATCTTCTCATTTCTGCCCGTTCAATATGATATTGGGTGTGGGTTTATCATAAATAGCTCTTATTATTTTGAAATACGTCCCATCAATACCTAGTTTATTGAGTTTGTAGCATGAAGGGCTTTTGAATTTTTTCGAAGGCCTTTTCTGCATCTATTGAGATAATCACGTGGTTTTTGTTTTTGGTTCTGTTTATGTGATGGATTACATATGTTGAACCAGCCCTGCATTCCAGGGATGAAGCTGACTTGGTGGTGGTGGATAAGCTTTTTGTTGTGCTGCTGGATTTGGTTTGCCAGTATTTTATTGAGGATTTTTGTATTGATGTTCATCAGGGATATTGGCCTAAAATTCTCTTTTATGTTGTGTCTCTGCCAGGCTTTGATATCAGGATGATACTGGCCTCATAAAATGAGTTAGGGAGGATTCCCTCTTTTTCAGTTGATTGGAATAGTTTCAGAAGGAATGGTACCAGCTTCTTTTCATACCTCTGTGTAGAATTTGGCTGTGAGTCCATCTGGTCCTGGACTTTTTTTGGTTGGTAGGCTATTAATTATTGACTCAATTTCAGAACCTATTATTGGTCTATTCAGAGATTCAATTGCTTCCTGGTTTAGTCTTGGGAGGGTGTACGCATCCAGGAATTTATCCACTTCTTCTAGATTTTCTAGTTTATTTGTGTAGAGGTGTTTATAGTATTCTCTGATGGTAGTTTGTATTTCTGTGGGATCGGTGGTGATATTCCCCTTTATCATTTTTTATTGTGTCTATTTGATGATTCTCTCTTTTCTTGTTTGTTAGTCTTGCTAGTGGTAGATCTATTTTGTTGATCTTTTCAAAACACCAGTTCCTAGATTCATTGATTTTTTGAAGGGTTTGTGTGTGTGTGTGTGTGTGTCTGTGTGTCTGTGTGTCTATCTCCTTCAGTTCTGCTCTGATCTTAGTTATTTCTGGTCTTCTGCTAGCTTTTGACTTTGTTTGCTCTTGCTTTTCTAGTTCTTTAAATTGTAATGTTAGGGTGCTGATTTTAGATGTTTCTTGCTTTCTCTTGTGGGCATTTAGTGCTATAAATTTGCCTCTACACGCTGCTTTAAATGTGTCCCAGAGGTTCTGGTACATTGTGTCTTTGTTATCATTGGTTTCTAAGAACATCTTTATTTCTGCCTTCATTTCATTATTTTCACAGTAGTCATTGGAGCACGTTGCTCAGTTTCCACGTAGTTGTGCAGTTTTGAGTGAGTTTTTTGCTCCTGAGTTCTAATTTGATTGCACTGTGGTCTGAGAGACAGTTTGTTATAATTTCTGTTCTTTTACATTTGCTGAGGAGTGCTTTACTTCCAACTATGTGGTCAGTTTTGGAATAAGTGCAATGTGGTGCTGAGAAGAATGTATATTCTATTGATTTGGGGTGGAGAGTTCTGTAGATGTCTATTATGTCTGCTAGGTCCAAAGCTGAGTTCAAGTCCTGGATATCCTTGTTAATTTTCTGTCTCATTGATGTGTCTAAGATTGACAGTGGGGTGTTAAAGTCTTCCATTATTATTGTGTGGGAGTTTAAGTCTCTTTGTAGGTCTCTAAGGACTTGCTTTATGAATCTGGATGCTCCTGTATTGGGTGCATATATATTTAGGATCATTAGCTCTTCTTGTTGAATTGATCCCTTTACCATTATGTAATGGCCTTCTTTGTCTCCTTTGATCTTTGTTGGTTTAAAGTGTGTTTTATCAGAAATCAGGATTATGACCCCTGCTATTTTTTTTTCTTTCCATTTGCTTGGTAGATCTTCCTCCATCCCTTTATTTTGAGCCTCTGTGTGTCTTTGCATGTGAGATGGGTCTCCTGAATACAGCACACTTATGGGTCTTGACTCTTTTTTTTTTTTTGAGACGAATTCTCGCTCTGTCGGCCAGGCTGGAGTGCAGTGGTGTGATCTCAGCTCACTGCAAGCTACGCCTCCTGGTTCACGCCATTCTCCTGCCTCAGCCTCCTGAGTAGCTGGGACTACAGGTGCCCGCCACCATGCCCAGCTAATTTTTTGGTATTTTTAGTAGAGACAGGATTTCGCCATGTTAGCCAGGATGGTCTTGATCTCCTGACCTCGTGATTCACCTGCCTCGGCCTCCCAAAGTGCTGGGACTACAGGCGTGAGCCATCACACCCAGCCGATGGGTCTTGACTCTCTATCCAATTTGCCAGTCTGTGTCTTTTAATTGGGGCATTTAGTCCATTTACATTTAAGGTTAATATTGTTATGTGTGAATTTGATCCTGTCATTATGATGCTAGATGGTTATTTTGCCCAGTAGTTGATGCAGTTTCTTCATAGTGTCAATGGTCTTTACAATTTGGCATATTTTTGCAGTGGCTGGTACTGGTTGTTCCTTTCCATGTCTAGTGCTTCCTTCAGGAGCTCTTGTAAGGCAGGCCTGGTGGTGACAAAATCTCTCAGCATTTGCTTGTCTGAAAAGGATTTTATTTCTCCTCCACTTATGAAGCTTCATTTGGCTGGATATGAAATTCTATGTTGAAAATCCTTTTCTTTAAGAATGTTGAATATTGGCTCCCACTCTCTTCTGGCTTGTAGAGTTTCTGCAGAGAGATCCTTTGTTAGTCTGATGGGCTTCCTTTTGTGAGTAACCCAACCTTTTTCTCTGGCTGTCCTCAACATTTTTTCCTACATTTTAACCTTGGTGAATCTGAGAATTATGTGTCTTAGGGTTGTTCTTCTCAAGGAGTATCTTTGTGGTGTTCTTTGTATTTCTTGAATTTGGATGTTGGCTTGCCTTGCTAGATTGGGGAAATTCTCCTGGATAATATCCGGAAGAGGGTTTTCTAACTTGGTTCCATTCTCCCCATCACTTTCAGGTACACTGATCAAATGTAGATTTGGTCTTTTTACATAGTCCCATATTTCTTGGAGGCTTTGTTCATTTCTTTTCACTCTTTTTTTCTCTAATCTTGCCTTCTCATTTTATTTCATTAATTTGATCTTCAGTCACTGATATCCTTTTTTCTGCTTGATCTAATCAGCTACTGAAACTTGTGTGTGCTTCATGAAGTTCTTGTACTATGGTTTTCAGCTCCATCAGCTCATTAAAGTGCTTCTCTACACTGGTTATTCTAGTTAGCCATTTGTCTAAACTTTTTTCAAGGTTTTTAGCTTTCTTGCGATGGGTTAGAACATGCTCCTTTAGCTCGGAGAAGTTTGTTATTACTGACCTCTGAAGCCTACTTCTGTCAACTTGTCAGACTCATTCTCCATCTCCAGTTTTGTTTCCCTGCTAGTGAAGAGTTGTGTTCCTTTGGAGGAGAAGAGGTGTTCTGGTTTTTGGGATTTTCGGCTTTTCTGCTCTGGTTTCTCCCCATGTTTGTGGCTTTATCTATCTTTGTCTTTGATGTTGGTGACCTACGGATGGGGTTTTGGTGTGGATGTCCTTTTTGTTGATGTTGATGCTATTCTTTCTGTTTGTTAGTTTTCCTTCTAACAGACAGGCCCCGCAGCTGCAGGTCTGTTGGAGTTTTCTGGAGGTCCACTCCAGACTCTGTTTGCCTGGGTATCACCAGCAGAGGCTGCAGAACAGCAAATATTGTTGTCTGATCCTTGTTCTGGAAGCTTCGTCCCAGAGGGGCACCTGCCTGTATGAGGTGTCTGTCAGCTCCTGCAGGGAGGTGTCTCCCAGTCAGGCTACATGGGGGTCAGAGACCCACTTGAGGAGGCAGTCTCTCTGTTATTGGAGCTCGAACACCATGCTGGGAGAACCACTGCTCTCTTCAGAGCTGTCAGGCAGGAACGTTTAAGTCTACAGAAGTTGTCTTCTGCCTTTTGTTCAGATATGCCCTGCCCCCAGAGGTGGAATCTAGGAAGGCAGTAGGTCTTGCTGACCTGTGGTGGGCTCCACCCAGTTAGAGCTTCCCTGCCACTTTGTTTATGTTGTGAGCATAGAACTGCCTACACAAGCCTCAGCAATGGTGGACACCCCTCCCCGCACCAAGTTTCAGCATCCCAGGTCAATCTCAGTCTGCTGTGCTAGCAGCGAGCAAGGCTCCATGGGCATGGGACCTGCCGAGCTAGGCACAGGCTTTGGAAGGAATCTCCTGAGGGAGGGATCTCCTGTTCTGCCAGATGTGAAAACCACGAGAAAAGTGCAGTATTTGGGCAAAAATGTACTGTTCCTCCAAGTACAGTCACTCATGGCTTCCCTTGGCTAGGAATGGGAAATCCCCTGACCCCTTGAGCTTCCCACGTGAGGCGATGCCCTGCTCTGATTTGGCTCGCTCTCCATGGGCTGCTCCCACTGTCCAACCAGTCCCAGTGAGTTGAACCAGGTACCTTAGTTGGAAATTACCCATCTTCTCTGTTGATCTTGCTGGGAGCTGTAGACCGGAGCTGTTCCTATTCAAGAATCTTGGAAGTGATTCACAAGTAAAAATATTTTAAAATTTCACAGCATAGGATCAATAAATTGCAAAGCTAAGGGTGAAGCCAGACTTCCTGACTATAGACTCCATGTGCTTAACCATTGTGCTGCAATGCCTAGAACAGGGTATTTGTTTAGCCTGCTAATAGTTATTTGTTCTAGACCAAGTTTTAGTAATTTTGTTTTCTTCTTATCAGGTTGCTTTCAAGATGTATCTGGGAATTACACCAAGTGTGATCTGTAACAATTCAAGCAGAAATGAATTTTCCCTGATTCTAGACAAGAATCCTCTGGTGGAGTTTGTGGAAGAGCTCCCTGCTGGACGATCTTCTCTGTGCTACTGCAACTTGCTGTGTGGGATTATCAGAGGTGCCTTGGAAATGGTAAAGTTGAATAAGTGAAGAATGAATGAAGAATCTCTTAGTCCTTCTAAGACTAAAATAAGATAACCAATATACATAATTCATTTACTAATAACATGTTACAAATTACCCCCAAAATGTAGCAGCTATAAAAACAAACGTTTATTTTCTCATACAGTTTCTGAGGATCAGAAATCTGGGAGCAGCTTAGCTAGGTTGTTGTCACTCAGAGTCTTTCATGGCTTAATACACATGCAGTCAAACTGCTAGCCAGGGCTGCAACCTCTGGCAACTTGACTGAGGCTGGAGAATCTACTTCCAAGCTCACTCACACACCCCCAGTGCCTTGCTGGCAGTTGGCAGGAGGCTTCATGAGGTTCCTGGCCACATGGACCTCTTTGTAGATCTAATCACAACATGGCCACTTATGCTGCCAACCCTGGTGCCATGGAGGAGTGGGCTACCTGAGGGTGTGAATAACAGGAGGTAAAGATCATTGGCTATTTTGGAGGCTGGATTTTATACCTGAATTATTAATTGGTTTAACTAAAACAGTTGTTAATATCTGCTAAGTGTCAGGCACTGAGTATACACAGATGAACAAGACATAGTTGCTGCCTTTAAAGAATCTGCTTTCTAATGGAGAAGTCAGATGTACAAATAAGTATAATTAAGGCTATGAGAGAACCTGTGCCAGGAAAACTCCCTAGACTTCCTAAGGAAACTCTAAACTGGCTTTTGAAAGAAAAATAGGAGTTAGATAAAAGCCTTGGGTAAGAGGAGCAGGAGAAAATAATACAATAGGTAGAAGAATCAGCATGTCCAAAGGTACAAAAAGAATGTTTCAATCAAGGAACAAGGAACTTGAATTAGTTCAGTATGACTGACATATAAATTGAGAGACAGATTGTCATGAGAAAGGAGGCTTAAATTCTTTACAGAAGACTGATTTTAAGAAAAGGAGTTCATATGACAAGCTTGGAAATTCAGATTTTTACACTGGAAGCAACAGAAATCAATGTAGGTTTAAAAACAGTGGAATAATATTTTGAAACTTGTGTTTTAGGAATTTCATTTCTTTATCAACAAAATTTGGAAAGTATATCAGAGGGAACAATGCTGAAAGAAAGGATGAGGGCACTTTGGAAGTTATGATGGTGACCTCAGGTAAAACCAGAACAAAGCCTTGACAGCAGGAATAGGGAGAGGAAGACCATTTGAACAATATCAAAAAGATGGAACAGATAAGACTAGGTTATGAACTGGCTGAAAGGAATGAAATTGAGAAAAAGATTCAAGAACGATTTGCAAGTTTCTGAGCAACCTGTAGAGATGGTTGTGCTATTAAACCAAGAGGAGTACATCTGGGCTTGGTAGAGACAAAGTGAGGAGTTCAATTTTGAGCCTGCTGGAGTTGAGGTGTTTAACACATGCAAGTGAGGCTATCCAGCAAACAGTTGTTTATCCCTGTCAGGAGTTCACAGAGAGACATGGATTGAAGAAGCATTAGAATTGGAAAAGAATGCCTAGGCAGAGTCTGTAGAGCAAGAAGAAAAAGGAGTACCAGAACCGTAGGAAGCAATAAAATATAATAAGTAGGTTCAATAGAGAGCACAAAGGCTGGAAAGGATACTAAGAAAGAGAAATCAGAGGGAGGAAAAGAAGGAGTCATAGAAACAAGGGAGGAGAGCATTTCAAGAAGACAGAGTGATTAATAAGAACAAGTACAGCAGAGAGTCTAAGTTAAACTACACCTGAAAAATATTCACAACATTTAGGAACCAAAAGACCCACGAGGGCCTTGGTAAAAGCTCCTTTGGGAAAGTGGAGGGAAAGAAGACAATCTGTCAAAGATTGGTGAGCCAACAACAGCTTAGGAAGAGATGACAGTCATCAAAGTCTCATTTTCCCAGAAGCTTAGCTATTAAGAATGGTGGGACCAGATAGCAACCAAAGTCTTGCCATGTATTGAGCTACCTAATAATGAGGCATGCATGTAATTTTAAATTATTTGTGATAATTAGGGGAAAATAGAATAACAAGTAATCCAGAAGCATAAAACAATAGAAACAATGTATTTTTCACGCAGATTCTCCATGCTTCCACCCTAGCATTTCTTTAGACTTGTCCTGTAGTCGGCGGCCATGAGATCAAGGAAGGGGTGGGAAAGCATTCTGAGCATTTATGGGCAAAGGGAGAAACCATAAAACCAAGTCAAAAATAGGAAAAGAATGTCTTCTACTCTCATAGATAACAGTTGATTATATTTGCTGAATGACAGCTGGCATCAGACCTGATGTGTCCCCAAATATCCAAATAGCTTCAACATTGTCTCCCTGTTAATTTAATTTATTTTCTGTTAAATTTTGACAAAGACTTAAAAAATCTTATGGAAGAAAAAGTTGAGGATGAATTTTGCTTCTGTATTTCCAATTGCAGTCTACGTCCTTCTGTTAAATGGTAGGCATTGCAAGGCCAGGCCCAGTATGAGTCAGATAATTTGGTACACTAAGGGTTTAACAAATTGAGGCTGACTAGCTAAGGAATTCTTAGTGAGAGAGGGGAGTGAGTCAGGTAACATTCAATAAATATCAATTAATTTCCTGTTACATGTGGGCATTTTTCACATATTATTTGCTTTTACTAGGTGCTTTTACTTATTTATCTTATTTTTCCCAATAAAACAAAATAACTCTGAATAAATACACTATTGGGAGTAGGTCAGCAATATCATGTTGCTCTTATGTGGACACATGTTAATGAATAAAGAAGTAAGCCCTGCTTACTTCAGTGCCTGGGAAATGGGAAATACCTTACAGAGAAAAAGAAGGCCTGAGTATCAAATATTCATGTCTGTAATTTCAATGTTCAATTTTATATCTATAATCCATTTAATTGATATTATTCTCAAAGCCTACAAACCATAAGTGACTGCTAAATGTTGTTAGGATAAATGATTATGTTATTTAGCTAATGACAGAATGATTTATGGCAAATCTGTTTGAGAGCAATCATTTAAGAATCCATTTATTCTTGGAAATTCTGCTGGCTAAGCACACTGGGTCAAGGCTATCTTCAAGCTGGGAATTTGTGTTCTTCTAAAGATGGATCCATAATTCAGCCTTGCACAGTGAGCTAAGCTTGGCAGAGTCTGGGTGTCCCAGTCATCTTAGTTGGCCTGGACCACCCTTCTCTTTGCAGAGTCACACCCCAGAGCTGACACACAGCTGTACCATCTCTGGAGGACACTCAGTAAAGGGCCCTTTATCCACAAACAAGCTTTTTAAAAAATCATTTCTTAAGGAATGTAAAGAAAGCTGAAAAAAGACTGAGAAAAATTTAGGTTTTTGTTTTTTAATTAAATGACACAGGCCTGTTTTTTTCTTCTTTCCTAGGTTCATTTGGCTGCTGATGTTACATTCTTGCAAGACAGACTAAAAGGTGACAGTGTGACAGAAATAGGAATAACATTTCTAAAAAAGCGAGACGAGAAAAAATATAGATGGAAGAAGTGAAGAATAGCACGGAAAATGCCACAGGGTGGCTAGTTGAGTTAATATTAGCTAAACATGTATAGACATAGAAATTTTGAATTGCTTAATAGCATGAACTTTGAAAGGCTTATAAATCAGCCAGAAATTTGAAATACAGGGCACAAAAATTTAAAGTTTTTTTTTTTTCTTTTGCTTATAGATCACATATTTTCGATCTCATGTCCACAAAATTTCACATAATGTGATTTTCTCGTGTATTAGCTTGGCTTAGAGCTTTAGCCTCCTGATGCTACCCTTGATTTGTAATCACCAAGTCAAGCTATTTATTCAATGATAATTTTGAAACATTATAAATAACATTTAATTTTAATTTATTTTATTTAGTTTTAATATAGCTGATATTAACCAAATTTCTTCCTTTTCTCATAAAATATTGCTTGATGGTCAGGCCAGGAAACCTCTTAAATAAAGGATAAATGATATTCTTTGAAAATACTCTCTTACCCCAAAGCTTATTTAGAATTTCTACTATCATTTTCATCCCCTAAAAAATCTTCCACAGAATGTTTTCTCTGTGACCAGAACACATTTAAAATTCATATGTACTGAATTAAATACATAGTAATCTTCACCAGACCATTGGCACACAAGGGCAGCCTACAAGGCAGCCCAGAATCTACTGGGCTCTGCAGATAACTCGCAAGTACAAGTTATGATTGGTGTGATACCACCCTACAGAATTGGAGAAAATATTTGTAAACTACCTATCTGACACCCAGAATATATAAGAAATTCAAACAACTCCATAGGAAAAAATTAATAATCCAATTAAAAATGGGCAAAAGATCTGAATAGACGTTTCTCAAAAGAAGACATACAAATGGCAAACAGGTATATGAAAAGTGCTCCACCTCATTGGTCATCAGAGAAATGCAAATCAAAACTATAATGAGATATTATCTCACCCTAGTTAAAAGTGACTTTCATCCAAAACAGGCAACAGTGAATGCTTGCAAAGATGTGGAGAAGAGGGAACTCTGGTACACTGTTGGTGGGAATATAAATTAGTATAACCATTATGGAGAACGGTTTGGAGGTTCCTCAAAAAACAAAAAATAGAATGATCATATGATCCAGCAATCCCACTGCTGGGTACATACCCAAAATAAAGGAAATCAGTATACCTAAGAGATATCTGCACTCCCATGTTTATTGCAGCACTATTCACAATGGCCAAGATTTAAAAGAAATCTAAGTGTCCTTCAATAGATGAACTAATAAAGAAAATGTGGTGCATATACACAATAGAGTACTATTCGGCCATAAAGAAGAATGAGATCCTGTCATTTGCAACAACATGGGTGGAACTAGAGGTCATTATGTTCAATGAAATATGTCAGGACAGAGAGACAGACTTAGAATGTTCTCACTTATTTGTAGGAGCTAAAAATTAAAACAGTGGACTCATGGAGATGTAGAGCAAAATGATGGATATCAGAGGCTGGAAAGGGTAGTTTCAAGAGGAGTGGAGGTGGTTAATGGGTACAAAAATCTAGTTAGATAGAATGAATATGATCTGGGCTGGGCATGGTGGCACAAGCCTGTAATCTCTGCACTTTGGGATGCCAAAGTGGGAGGATTGCTTGAGCTCAGGAGTTTGAGACCAGCTTAGGTTATATATATATACAGGAGTTTGAGACCAGCTTAGGTTATATATATATATATATATATTTATTTATTTATTTATTTATTTATTTATTTTGCATACCTGTGCATACCTGTGGTCCCAGCTACTCGGGAGGCTGAGGTGGGAGGATTGATTAAGGCCAGGAGGTTGAGGCTGCAGTGAGCCATGATTGTGCCACTACCCTCCAGTCTGGGCAATAGAGTGAGACCCTGTCTTAAAAAAAAAGTACAAGAATGAATAAGATCAAGTATTTGACAGCACAACAGGGTGAGTACAGTTGATAATAACTTTTTGTACATTTAATAATAATTACGATTATAAATGGATTGTGACAGAAAAGATAAATGCTTGAGGTAATAGATACCCCATTTACCCGATGTGATTGTTATGCATTGTGTGCCTGTATGAAAACATCTCATGTACCCCATAAACATATATACCTACTATGTACCCGCAATAAATAAAAATTAAAAAGTAATCAAAATAAATAAAACTGTTATAAGTGATATGTTAGTGATAGACGTCAACTAGGATTCAGGAGCCTGTTCTGAGTCCCTGTCCAGTTCTGTTTCTAGGGGCTTCAGCTGATCCTGAGTAGTGACGGATCCTGGGCAAGGCACATAATCTCTCCATCTCTCTCTCTCTCTCTCTCTCTCTCTCTCTCTCCCCACCCCTTTAAAATCAGGACATTGGATGCAATAAAGGTCTAAAACTGTATCAATGGGTTTAAACGATATAAACGATCACTGAAATTCTACATTTTTGGACTTTAGAACACTGCAGGGAAATTGTTTGTTCTCCACTTACTCAACTGTCTCTTCAAAAGGACATTACAGTAGGCATAAAGGAAATAGGGTCATTGGCACACAGTTGAGGCATCAATGGAAGAACCTTCAAGCCTGCTCCACAGAAGACCAGGAATAGAATCTGGAAGAAGATATCTGACATTAGAAGGGGTATCACAATGTCATGTATTTTAAACTGATACCTCCATAAGAATTCTTGCCTACAATCTATCCTAAAGCTTCTTTTTAGGATTTTTTCCATCTTCTGCTCAGTTGCCTCTTTCTCATTTATAATATATGCATTTCTCCCAGGAACCCAAGATATTCATGCCTAAGGCCCTCTCTCTTAAATCAGCACCCAACTAACTATCCTGAAAATACTCCAGGTCTTGGAGTATTCTCCTGCCTGTCTATACCTTCCTCTTCTTTCTCTCCTAACCTAACCATCAAAAGTCCCTTGGCCCAAAGTCTTTGTTCCCCACCCTGCTGAAGGCAGCTTAATCTGGTATTCTCAGTGATGCTGGGCATTGGAACTGATGATGGCTTCAGGATGAGGCTTGTTCCCCATTCCTTGTTTTTCTCACTGTGGAAGGAGGGGAGCCTCTTGGCATTGAATATATTAGAATTATAAGAACCACCAATATAATTTCATATTTTCTTATAGCCATATTAAATAATAAAAGGAAATAGGTGACATTATTTTTATAGTTTTAATAATATATCATTTAATTATCCAAAAATTTTTATTTCAACATAGTAATATAATAATAAATGTTATTATCTATAATAATAAATTTCATTATTACTATTTTTGGTAGAGATGGAGATCTTGCTTTGTTGCTCAGGCTGCTCTTAAATCCTGGCCTCAAGTGATCCTCCCACCTTGACCTCCCAAACTGTTGGGATTATAGGAATGAGGTAACCACACCTGGCCAATATAAAAATTATTAACGAGACATTTTATATTATTTTTTATACTAAGTCTTTGAACTCCAGTGTGTATTTGACATTCTTAGCACATCTCAACTCATGGTAAATTTTCAAAGGCTAGAGTGAAATGTAGTTCTACCAAAATAATAAAGTTGTGTTTAAAGGTGTTTAATAGCCTCAATTTTTAAATCTAAATTAATTAAAATTAAACTGAATTTAAAATTCAGTTACACTAGTCACATTTTACATGTTCAATAGCCATGTGTGTCTAGTGGCTACTCTCATGGACAGCACTGGTCTAGAATTCCCAGTCAAAGATTTGTTGTGTCTCCTTGACCTTTGATACAAAGAATGAATGGAGAGGATCCAGTACCATGGAGAGAAGGAGAGGAGATGGGTAGAAAAGAAAAAAATAAAAGAAAATCAGGTCAATAAGACTGTCAGAGACCCATGAAATGCTCTCTCTCTACCAACTGAGCAGTGACCCATAGAAACAATAAAGAGAGATTACACATCCTTCCCTGGGCTCCAAGTATGTTTTCATCACCATTGTGTAAAGCTGGGTTTCTCTGATAAAGAGCTTAAGGAACGTATATAGCATAACTACACAGCATAACTACAGGATTATATAATATTTTTATTTTATATCATTTTATGTTTTTATTCTATAAAAGCCTTTACTCCAAACCCAAAATCTTGATTAAAGCAGAGTTTTTTTTGTCACCTCAGCAAAGCAAAAGAGGAGGAAATGTTTGGGGCAGAGATGTAGTGCAATGCTCTTAAATGACTACACCAGATATTGCCCAAGCTATTAACTGAGGAGGCCTGATTTGGTTGTCTATTCACTAATTGCAGTTGCCAGGAATCAGAAATACCTGCCTCAGCATCCTGTACACTTATTTATTGTCTTCTCAAACCTCTCAGTTTCATTTATTAGCTGTTAGGAGCCTGGATCTCTTTAGCAGTTGGAATGAATGATGGTGAATAAGTGGAAAGTTTCCTCTTCTCATTGTTTATGAGAGACAAAAGGAGAAATTTGGAAAATCACATGCTTGAAGTAAGAGGATGATATTAAAACTTTTGTATCCAGAGACTACTTTAAGAAAAATCTGCTACTACTTTAACAAAGATCTGCTAAATGTTAACTAACACAGTAAATGCTAAGTGTCACTGTTAAGTGTCTCCCGCTGGGCTGTAGACTCTGGATAGTTGTTATACTTCAGTTTACTTCACCAGTTTTGGAAGCTAATATCTCTTCAGTAACACTGAAGGAGTCTGTGATGGATGCATCCTCCCAGCTCTGGAAACTTCATATGACAAAAGATTCTGTATCCTTCTTGTTAAGAGAGAAAGCCAAATTTTGTTTACTCCACTTAGTTGCATATTCCTTGAAAAATCTGACCAGTGTCTGCATTTCTTCATCCTAATAAACCTTCCAGAACTTTAGCTGGACATAACCAGTGGTTGACCAGTAGGGTCTATGACAAACCACCAACAGACAGGGAGGGATGTAGCAGGTTTAATGTACCAGTGTGTGATCTCAGAAGGAAATGGTCAACTCTTATTCAGTTAGCAAGTGTCACCCTAACATTGAAAACAAGGCACAGCCACAACAATCATTAGCAAAATTTTACTTTTCATTAGAAAAGAAGAGCTAAACAAAACAAATCAAAAGTCGGGGCTCTTTCACAAAAAAAGTTAAGAAATAGACCTTCTGGGGGATAATTCTTGTTCTCCCTTGAACTCAGGCTCTGTCTTTCCCGATTAAATCTTTATTTGTGTCCCAGGGATGAAGTCAACTTGATTGTGGTGGATAAGTGTTTTGATGTGCTGCTGGATTTAGTTTGCCAGTATTTTATTGAGGATTTTTGTATTGATGTTCATCAGGGATATTTTCCTTTTTTGTTGCGTCTCTGCCAGGTTTTGATATCAGCATGATGCTGGCCTCATAAAATAAGTTAGGGAGGATTCTCTCTTTTTCTATTGTTTGGAATAGTTTCAGAAGGAATGGTACCAGCACCTCTTTTCACCTCAGGTAGAGTTTGGCTGTGAATCCATCTGGTCCTGGACTTTTTTTGGTTGGTAGGCTATTAATTACTGCCTCAATTTCAAAACTTGTCATTGGTCTTTTCAGGAATTCGACTTCTTCCTGTTTAGTCTTGGGAGGGTGTATATGTCCAGGAATTTATCCATTTCTTCTAGATTTTCCAGTTTATTTGTTGAAATCTTTTTCCAGTTGATTTGGGGTAGAGAGTTCTGTAGTGTCTATTAGGTCCACTTGGTCCAGAGCTGAGTTCAAGTCCTGGATATCCTTGTTAATTTTTTCTCTTACTGATCTGATAGAGGTGTTTGTAGTATTCTCTGATCATAGTTTGTATTTCTATGGGATCAGTGGTGATATCCCCTTTATCATTTTT